AGGATAAGGATGTGGCCAGTGGGTCCCTGGACTGCATGTATCTATTGACCCATGAGGGGAAGCAGGTCCTTGGCCTCTACTCTTGCCCCATACCCTGATATAGTGACTACTCAGGAGATGTGTTCTGGCTGCTGTGAACTGGGGTGTGAGGATTCTGTTCCTCGGACCCATGAGAATATGGCTGAGCAAGAGCCCGTTTACTCAAGCTGTGTCCTTTGTGTAGGAATATCACCATTGGGACGTAGTCCTGGCCTCACCAGCTCCCTATTTATTATGCTCTGCCCCTTTCCCCATGTCATTAATGAAGAAGTTAAACACCCAAGCCTCTGGCACCGCCATAAACCCCAACTCCTAACTGAGTACTGTCCCTTTTATCATCACTCTTTGTTCATGGTCTTTCAGGCAATGTTTGGTTTGATTTCAAGATAGTGAGGGGGAGTCTGAGATTGTGACAATAGACATCACTCAGCTAGTAAGGTTGGAGCGAGGTCATAGGAATACTGTCAAAAGCTTGATTGCTAGACTAGGGGCAAGCCTTGATTTTCCAGACTCCATATATATATATTATTCCAAATTATTATGTAGTCCTGTGCCCGAAATTCACAGTGAAACTGAAATGTCTCTTTGCAGCCCCCTAATTTTATTGAGTTTTATTTCTAATTTTCCCACAAGACCTTTTATATTGGGGTTTACCACTATTGTGACCAACTCTCATTCTTACTGTGACTGGGGTAAATCAGACATCCCAGATTTGGCTGTAGTTAATTTGCACACAGCTTAAAGGGGTGTCACAACTGGTAGGAAAAGCATGTTGGCACCAGAGGAATTTAGACTCCTTTGTTGACAGCATAGCTGTGAATCAGGGCCTTCTTCTGTCTAGTTGGCAGTGGCTTTTTAACCATATTTGCTTTGTGTTACATATGCTTGCCAGTTGTTGGTGTATTTGTATTACAGCTGAGCGCTGAACCATCCACTGAATATATGTATAATCCCTTACAATATAATGGGCTGTGTCCCAGCTCTAGGCCATGGAGAGGGGCTGTGCCCCAAGGTGAGGTGAGGCAAGGTGGTGTATTGTGACATAGCAAGAAAGTGTAATTTGTGATTCCTTCAGTATTAGGCGAGCAGAGGGCAGGAGAGTTCATGCTAACGACATGGACAGTGCGGGGCAGGTGTCCAAGAAACCCCCTGCTGCTGCCACTGGCGAGCAGATCCTAAAGGATTTCCAGGTTCTGATAGAGAAGGTTGGGGGGAAGCCAGAGGTGCTGCTGGTTGGAGAGTCTCAGGAGGGAAAAGACACTCGGGCTCTGATGGCGGCTTTTGTCCAGGAATTGTTCCCGGACGCTTGCAAACCAGGGATTAGTCCAGCAATGGCTGTGACCCAGACACAGCCAGGGGCCAAGCCTGGAGCTAGCAACAGTCAATCCCAACTCATCTTCTTCCTGTGCCGCGCTTCCTCCCTGCGAGGCAAGCAGGCCGAGATCCAGAAGATCTTGAAGGAAGTGAAGAAGTTTAGCCACAGAGCCCCAGCTGCCCTGGTGGGAGTCATCGTGCAGCCCAAGAAGGAAGAGGAGACAGAGGCCCGGAAGCTGATGGAGAGCGTGCTCCAGGGTGCCTTCCCTAGACAGCCGCGTAAACGGGACAAGCGGGGTAAGAAGCAGGGCCAGGCGCTGGAGCTGGAGGAGGTGCAGGTGGAGGTGGAAGTCTTCATTCCAGGTCAGCCACGGGGGAAACTGGCCATCATGAAAGCCGCCTGCCGAGCTTCTGAGGCCCTGCAGCAGCGCACATCTGCAGATGTGAAGCAGGATGGTATGGACGGATTGGGGGGAGAGGGGGAGGAGGGAAGCCAGGGAGCACATGGGGGCAGTGGATGGAGAAGTGAAGTACATAGTCTAGAAGTCAAAATAATAAGATGGGTGAACTAGAGTGACTCGTGATAAAGGAGGATATTGATATAATAGGCATCACAGAAACCTGGTGGACTGAGGACGATCAATGGGACACAATCATTCCAGGGTACAAAATATATCAGCAGAACAGGGAGTGGGAGTGGCACAAATTTGTGAAAGAAAATGTAGAATCAAATGAAGTAAAAATCTTAAGTGAATCCAGATGTTCTATAGAATCTCAAAGGGTAGGAATAAATGGTAAATTCTCAGAATGGAGAGGGGTAACTAGTGGTGTTCCCCAAGGGTCAGTCCTAGGACAAATCCTATTCAACTTATTCATAAATGATCTGGAGAAAGGGGTAAAAAGTGAGGTGGCAAAGTTTGCAGATGATACTAAACTGCTCAAGATAGTTAAGACCAAAGCAGACTGTGAAGAACTTCAAAAAGATCTCACAAAACTAAGTGATTGGGCAACAAAATGGCAAATGAAATTTAATGTGGAAAAATGTAAAGTAATGCACATTGGAAAAAATAACCCCAACTATACGTTCGATATGATGGGGGCTAATTTAGCTACAACGAATCAGGAAAAAGATCTTGGAGTCATTGTAGATAGTTCTCTGAAGACGTCCACGCAATGTGCAGAGGCAGTCAAAAAAGCAAACAGGATGTTAGGAATCATTAAAAAGGGGATAGAGAATAAGACGGAGAATATATTATTGCCCTTATATAAATCGATGGTATGTCCACATCTTGAATACTGCATACAGATGTGGTCTCCTCATCTCAAAAAAGATATACTGGCACTAGAAAAGGTTCAGAGAAGGGCAACTAAAATGATTAGGGGTTTGGAACGGGTCCCATATGAGGAGAGATTAAAGAGGCTAGGACTTTTCAGCTTGGAAAAGAGGAGACTAAGGGGGGATATCATAGAGGTCTATAAAATCATGAGTGATGTGGAGAAAGTAGATAAGGAAAAGTTATTTACTTATTCCCATAATACAAGAACTAGGGGCCACCAAATGAAATTAATAGGCAGCAGGTTTAAAACAAATAAAAGGAAGTTCTTCACACAGCGCACAGTCAACTTGTGGAACTCCTTGCCTGAGGAGGTTGTGAAGGTTAGGACTATAACAGGGTTTAAAAGAGAACTGGATAAATTCATGGAGGTTAAGTCCATTAATGGCTATTAGCCAGGATGGGTAAGGAATGGTGTCCCTAGCCTCTGTTTGTCAGAGGGTGGTGATGGATGGCAGGAGAGAGATCACTTGATCATTACCTGTTAGGTTCACTCCCTCTGGGGCACCTGGCATTGGCCACTGTCAGTAGACAGGATACTGGGCTAGATGGACCTTTGGTCTGACCCAGTACGGCCGTTCTTATGTTCTTATAGAATGCAAGTGGAGAGACATTGGAAGGCAGGGTGAGGAAGCCGGGCATTCGGGGCTTCAGGTCACGGCCATTTTAGTGTTGTTGGTTGTTGTTATTTTTGAAAAGACTGAAGATGGGGGAGAGCTCTATGTGAATAATAAATATGGGCTCTTTATAGCTCTTCTATAGCTGATTAATGTGTGGGGTAGGTGTTCCCAGGACACCACTGTGGGCTGCTTGGGTCAGGCTCTGTAAAGCGCCCAGCACATTTTCAGGTTCCATGTAAATAATGACTCCGCCACGCCACGTAGGTGCTAGGCCGCTTTGGGAGCTGTGTGCCCCTCAGAGAGAAATGATTCAAGGGACGGGACTCCCACTCTCCCTTCGGAGAACAGTCTGGATTCTGCCATGATTAGACCAGAACAGTGGGTCTGGCAAAGAACCTTCTGCTTCAGAAGACGTCTTGCTGCTGCTTTGGTATTTATAATGCAACAGGAGGCTGGGGCCTTGTGACGTTCCCCTGATGTTATCCGGACCAGTGATCTGCTAGATCACTCCAATCCTTGACTCTGGGAGCCAGCCTTACCCTGCTCTGCTTTGAGAACCCCCACTCCTGGGCTGTTCACACACAGCCTCTAGCTTGTAAGCTGCTCCCAGCTACGTGAGTGTGCACTTTTGGCCAGCCGCTGCTTGGATTGTGCAACCGAATGACACTAGCCAATATCTCCGGTCCCAGACACAACCCTAGGAACCTGCGTCTTGCAGTGTCCAGTTATGCCCGCTGGACGCTGCAAGCTTACATGAGTTCGTCAATTTAACAAAGAAATTGATATTTACCAGGCTTGTTATCCCAAGGGGAATCTCTGACATGCTTCAAACCAAATCCACTGCTTCAGGTACAATAAACAAACATTTATTAACTACACAGATAGATTTTAAGTGATTATAAATGAAAACATAACAAGTCAGATATGGTCAAATGAAATAAAAGCAAAACGCATTCTAAGCTGATTTTAACACTTTCAATACCCTTATAAACTTAGATGCTTCTCACCACAGGCTGGCTGGTTGCCCCTCAGCCAGGCTCTCCCCTTTGGTCAGTGCTTCAGTCGCTTGGAGGTGATGTTTGTAGATGGAGGTGGAAGAGAGAGAGAGTGCATGGCGCTCATGTTCTTTTTATCATGTTCTTTCTTCCCTCTTGGCTTTGCCCCCCCCTTCAGAGTCAGGTGAGCATTACCTCATCACAATCCCAAACTGACCAAAGGAAGGGGGGTGACTCACTCGAGAGTCCAACAGACCCTTTTGTCACTGCCTAGGCCAGTGTCCTTTGTTCCTGTGAGGCTGAGGGGCGGGGGTTTGTCCCATACATGCCTCAATGAGGTGTGAACAGCCCCTCTGCTCTTAGAGAGCTTTTCCCTGGGCTTTCTTCAAGCCATGAGGACACATTTTCAGCCTCATAACTATATACATGAAATTATAACCTATAACATTATTATAACATCACTATAACAACAATGCTCAGTGCATCATGAGCCTTCCGAAGACACCCAACCTGACAAACTTTGCATTGGATACCACACAATCATTTTCTAAGGATGAACATGGGTGTTTCCACAAGGTACGGAACGTCACAGGCCTGTCATGGTGCTCTAAAGTCAGTTATCATTGCTCTGAATGTTCAGTAGAACCCCAGAGTTACAAAAACCTCGGGAATGGAGGTTGTGCATAACTCTGAAATGTTCCTAACTCTGAACAAAACATTCTGGTTCTTTCCAAAGTTTCCAACTGAACATTGACTTAACACAGCTTTGAAACTTTACTGTGTAGTAGAAAAATGCTGCTGTCTCTTTATTTTTTTAGTAGTTTACGTTTAACATGGTACTGTACTGTATTCGCCTTTTTTGGGGGTGGGGGTGTCTCTGCTGCTGCCTGATTGTACTTCCGGTTCTGGTTCATAACTCTGGTGTTCATAACTCTGAGGTTCTCCTGTATCTGTTGCGGCAGCCTTCATAGCTTCTTTGTCTGCCCCCCCGCCCCCCCGCCATTGCTGCATGTGCTGTAAGCCCCTGGAACTGGGTCATACAGTCCCTCATCTCACAGGCCCGCTGCTCTGTTAATGTAGGATTTGCTGCTGAGCGAGGGGCTGTTGGCAATATGCTGTTTGGTGCCTGCTGGGTTGGAGCATGAGGAGGAGCTGTTTGGGGTTTGAGCGAGGGATGGAGAACATAAGAACGGCCATACAGGGTCAGCCCAATAGTCCATCTGGCCCAGTGTCCTGTCTTCTGACAGTGGCCAGTGCCAGATGCTTCTGAGGGAATGAACAGAACATGGCAATTTCGAGTGATCATCCCCTGTTGTCTAATCCCAGCTTCTGGCAGTTGGAGGTTTAGGAATGCCTGGAGCATGGGGTTGCATCCCTGCCCATCTTGGTTAATAGCCATTAATGGACCTATCCTTCATTAACGTATCTAATTCTTTTCTGAACCCAGTTATACTTTTGGCCTTCACAACATCCCCTGGCAAAGAGTTCCGCAGGTTGACTGTGCATTGTCTGTCGAAGTACTTCCTTTTGTTTGTTTTAAACCTGCTGCCTATTAATTTCATCAGGTGACCCAGAGTTCTTTTGTTATGTTCTTCCTTGTTACGCTCCCTACACCAGTCATGATTTTATAGACCTCTGTCATATCCCCCCTTAGTTGTCTCTTTTCTAAATTGATCAGTCCCGCTCTTTTTAATCTCTCCTCATACAGAAGCTGTTCCATACCCTGATCATTTTTGTTGCCCTTCTCTGTACCTTTCCCAATTCTGATGTATCCTTTTTGAGACGGGACGACCAGAACTGCATGCAGTATTCAAGGAGTGGGCATACCACGGATTTATATAATGGAGTTATGATATTTTCCACTTTATTATCTATCCCTTTCCTAATGGTACCTAATAACCTGTTAGCTTTTTTTTTCACTTCAGCTACACACTGAGCAGATATTTTCAGAGAACTATCCACAATCTCTCCAATATCTCTTTCTTGACCCCATCATTTTATAGATCCAGTTGGGATTATTTTTGTCAATGTGCATTACTTTATACTTATCAACATTGAATTTCATCTGCCATTTTCTTGCCCAGTCACCCAGTTTAGTGAGATTCCTTTGTAACTCTTTGCAGTCAGCTTTGGACTTAGCTATTGAGTAATTTAGTGTTGACCTCAAATTTGGCACCTCTATATTCACCCCCTGTCATGAATATAGGGGGAAGGGTAGCAACCTTTATGTATGCAGTAGCATAAAATCCCTCCTTGGAAGCTGTACTGGATTGCCTTATCTGTAAGGGGTTAAGCAGTTCAAATAACCTAGTTGGCACCTGACCAGAAGGACCAATGAGGAAAGAAGATACTTTCAAATCTGGGTGAGGGGAGGATTTGTTTTTTTGTTCTGTGTGTTATTCCCTCTCCGGACGGAGGGAGAAGCCAAGCAGGTACAATATCTCCTGCAAATATACCTGGAATAATCCATCTGAAATCACAGAAACTGTGAGTAGAGCAAGGAAATGCATTAGGTTATCTTTTGTTTTGGCTTGTGGATTTTTGTATGCTATAGAGGTAGTTTTATTCCTCTTTTTGTAACTGTGAAGCTGAGCCGAGAGGGAATCCTCTTTGTTTTAAATCTGTTTATTACCCTGTAAAGTTACCTTCCATCCTGATTTTACAGGTGTGATTCTTTTATTTTTTTCTTTATAAATAAAGTTCTTCTTTTAAGAACGTGATTGATTTCAGTGCCCTGAAGACAAAGGGTCTGGTCTGTGCTCACATTGCTAAGGCAACTGGTTGGTATATTATTCTCACGCCTCCCCAGGAAAAGAGGTGAAGGGGCTTGGGGGGATATTTTGGGCGGGGAATAGGGATTCCAAGTGACCCTTCCCTGAATTTTTGTGTAAATCACTTGGTGGTGGCAGCAATACCATCCAAGGACAAGGAAAAGAATTTGTACCTTGGGGACGTTTTAACCTAAGCTGGTAGAATATAAGCTTAGGTGGGTCTTTCATGCGGGTCCCCACATCTGTACCCCAGAGTTCAGAGTGGGGGGGAACCCTGACACCCCCTTTACCAGATCATTTATGAATATGTTGAATAGCACAGTCCCAGTACAGATCCTTAGGGGACCCCACTATTTACCTCTCTTCACTATGAAAATGGACCATGTATTCCTACCCTTTGTTTCCTATCTTTTAACCAGTTACTGATCCATGAGAGCACCTTCCCTCTTATCCCATGACAGCTTACTTCACTTAAAGAGCCTTTGGTGAGGGACCTTGTAAAAGGCTTTCTGAAAGTCCACTGGATCCCCCTTGACCATGTTTATTGACACCCAATTTGCCTGGTACCAATGTTAGGTTTACTGGCCTGTAATTGTCAGGATTGCTCTGGAGCATTTTTTAAAAATTGGCATTCCATTAGCTACCCTCCAATCATCTGATACAGAGGCTGATTTAAGCAAAAGGTTACATAACACAGTTCGTAATTCTGCCATTTCATATTCGAACTCCTTCAGAACGCTTGGGTGATACCATCTGGTCCTGGTGACTTATTACTGTTTAATTTGTCAATTTGTTCCCAAACCTCCTCTATTCATACCTCACTCTGGGCCAGTTCCTCAGATTTGTCACTTAAAAATAATGGCTCGCATGTGAGGATCCCCTCCATATCCCGTGCAGTGACGACCGATGCAAAACATGCATTTAGCTTCTCCACAATGGCTTGTCTGTTTCTGATGTACTTACATTTTTTTGCTGTTAGTGTTTGTGTATTTAGCTAGTTGCTCTTAGAGTCTCTCTTGGCCTGAGGCCTTCTTATGCTTTTACACTTGACTTTCCAGTGTTGATGCGTCTTTCTATTTTCCTCACTAGGATTTGACTTCCGGTTTTTAAAGGATGCATGTCTTTTTGTCTCTAAGTGCCTCTTTTACTCTGCTGTTTAGCCATGGTGGCATGTTTTGTCCTCTTACTGCTTTTTTTGATTTGGGGTGTACATTTAGTTTGAACCTCTATTATGCTACTTTTAAATAATCGCCGTGCAGTTTGCAGACTTTTCACCCTTGTGACTGTATCTTTTAATTTCCGTTTAACTGGCTTCCTCATTTTTGTGTAGTTCCCCTTTTTGAAGTTAAACGCTGCTGTGGTGGGTTTCTTTGGCATTTTCCCCCCTACAAGGATGTTCAATTTAATTACATTATAGTCACTGTTACCGAGCGGTTCAGCTATATTCATCTCTTGGGCCAGATACCGTGTGCCTCTTAGGACTAAATGAAGAATTGGCTCTCACATTGTGGGGTCCAGGACTAGCTGCTCCAAGAAATGATGTCTAGAAATTTTATCTCTGCATCCATTCCTAAGATGACATATGCCCAGTCAGTATGGGGATAGTTGAAATCCCCCATTACTATTGAGTTTTCTGCCTTGGAGGGACGTTCAAGGCCCGGCGGGTGGCTCAAAAGGGGGAGAGGGATTGTTCCAGGGTGTTCTCTCCTCTCACGAAGGAGAATTGCCCACCAGTTCATTTCTTTCTGTGGCCCATTGATCTTGGGAAAGACTCATGGGGTCTGACATAGTTCTCAGTTTCACTAAGAACAATGCGGAGGAGCAAGTGCTAATTGCTGAACAGCCCCTTCTGGAGCGGTAGTATCAACTTGTATGGTCCTAAGTACCGGCATCTAAAAGCTGCGTTGTGCCCCGCTCCTCCTGACCCGGCAGTGTTTGCTAAGGACGTGCATGTGTTGAAGGCTCTGTGGTCTTTCTGGGCAGGAGGCTGTCCCAGCTCAGGTGGGAAGAGCTTTCATTTTAAGCAGGTGGGGGATTGGTAGCCGTATAGACGGTGCAATGCAGGACCTGGGACGTTTAGGGGTGACGCATCTGGAGGCAGCCATACCCCTTTTGTGTCTTTCAGGAAGGATAAAGAGATCAATGAGGATAAAGAGAGGACGGTTTGAGTTAAGTACACATTGGTGACAGCATCGCCTCGGTTTGAGTCAAGGACAAAAAAGCTGGGGAGGGAACTGGCTTGATTCTTGTGGAAACTGGCAACGGCCTTGGGAAAGAGCCCCAAGATTACACGTTACTTAGACTGGATAGAAAATTCAGTAGGAAAAGAGACGCGAGGGCAGCAGACTCTTCCTTCAGGCTCAGGGATGTAAAGGACTCCAAGAAGGCCACCTTCCAAACTGCAGGGTACAGGTGAGACAGCTGTTAGCAGGATTTCAGATGGAGTAAGGTGAAAGCTAGTGAAGCACCATGTTAAGTTTCCAGGGAGAAACAGTAGGTCCAACCACAGGCCTGAGAAAGGACCGAGAGACTGGGGGGGAACTCCTGCGTGATCCCACTTACAGATCCCCTGAGAGACCCTAACATGGCCACTTGCACCCTGAAAGAACCTGGGGATAAGCATTTTTCACACCCAGATTGAGGAAGGCAGGAGCCGAAGAGCTCCCTGGCCTGAGCCATGATGTAAAGAATCCCTGCTGTAACAGGCATCGTGGTGTCTGCTCTCCGGGAGACCACGGGTGTGGTGAGAACCCTGCCTGAGGAGCAGTTTGAGGGGTGGGCTGACTGACTGAGCTGTCCAGGATTTGGATGGGAGATGGCGTGTTGCGCTCAGAAGGCCTGGAAACACAAGCAACCTGATTGGACATGCCAGAGCAAACTGGAGCTGGTTTGTAGCAGGACCTTCTGAGGCCGCTTCCAGCCTGCAGGACCACCTTCGCTCTGCCCTCCCTTTTTTAGAACTTGTCTGTGGTGAGGTATTGGAGGGGCATTGAAGACACATTGGGGGAAGTTCCCTTGGACTCGTGCGCCCAGGCCTGGTGGGTTGAGGGTAGCAGTTGCAGATTTTACACACTGACTTTGAATTTGTGAGGAGGTCACCGTGCTGGATGGAGCCCACGCTGGCAAAGTACGAGGCTGAATGACTCCTTCCCAACAACCTGCTTAGCTAGCCTGCCTTTGGATTGTGGGATGAAAAAGGTTCCTTCAGCCTACAAAGTGCATTCTACCCACACAAAAGATTTTGTGGCTTCTTTGAGGTTTGCACCAGTTGAGATCCAGCACTACAGCTGGATTGTCTGATCTTACCAGGATGTGTTGACCTTGAATTTGAGGGGACCTTTGGCTTGATGGCTTCAGAGAGGCTGTCCACAGACAATCACATTGCTTGAGCTGTAGCTTGTGCATAGGAATCCCCAGTGATTCCTTAGTGATATTAAGCCATCCGGGGATAACTCTTCAGCGTGTTCTTTCTGCCTTATGCATTTGGATGCCTGGAGGAGGGGACAGCTCCACTTCTGGATGGTTGGGAGAGCTTCAAGTTTCTAATAGGAACCGCTGCAGGGAAACAGCCACTGCCACCATTACCATTGCCTTCCGAAAGCTGGAGAGCCATAACCAGATCGGGTAAAAAAAGGATGGAGCTGTAGGATGGCAGGGATATGTAAACAGGCCTCCTTTAAATCTGTCCAGGATGAAAGGTCACCCAGACTGCTCGCTGCTAGACATGCTACCAAATTCTGAGCTCTGCATTAGCACATGTCCAATACACTGAATTAGCTAAAGAAGTTGGCGTTTTAGGTCTAGTGCTGAATGCACCCCGCTGGCTACATGGCCCCTGAGAATTCTCTTGACTATGTTCCTATATGCAGCCGCTGCCCTGGCACATGGCCTGTGGCCTTTACTGCAGCTGAGAAAGCTGCTTCTCAACATTGGGAGAAAGGGAAGAAAATATTAGTTTGGGAGAAGGAGGAGGAGCAAGAGTCCGTGAGACAGTTGAGTAACCCATTTGCCCTGTGTCCTGGCTGCCCACTTTTGCTGAAAAAGGAAACTCTTGGTCCTCTGAGTGCCCTGCTTAGAATTGGGAGAGGCTGGTTCAGAAGTGGAAAATGTGGGAGACAGGGATGTTTCTGTCAGACTGATGAGCCTGAGGAAGGAAACGAATGAGGAATCTCTCTCTGTGTGGCTTGTGCTTTCAGGGAGATTAGCAGATGGAGGAGGGAAGGTCAGGGGCTGGACCTGAAAAGTTTTTGAGAACAACTCCTGTCGTTAATCTGAGGTAACATTTTCAAAAGTATCCGTGACTTAGGAGCCCAAGTCCCATTTTCAACAATGATTTAGGTGCTAGGAGCCTAATGCTCATAGGACAACGTTCACTGCAGTACAGACAGCCACTTCCTGCTGTCGTTCTGTTCTGGGTCTGGCAGCTACCAGCCCAGTGGGACCTGGGTCTTTAATTCTAGCCCCTAGATGTTATCGCAGTACAAATAACTAATAATGCCAAGCCTCGTAGAGTGGGAAGCATTTCTGCTGTCTTGTGTTTGACACCGTAAGTGTTCATAGCAAGATGCGCTGACCAGTTGATAAATTGGATGTAACTTCGAATCCCAGTGGAGCCATAGAACAAAAGGCCCAGTGTGTGCAGGAGGTTGGGGTTTGGGATGAGGGCTAGTCACTTATCACAGTAGTATCTGAGCACCTTCCAGTTGCACATTAAACCACATGACATGCATCTATCACATGTCCATTCTCTCATCCCCTGAGAGGGAGAAGGGTGTGCGGTAGTGGGCTTTAGTTTGGAGTTTTTGTCTTACTAAATATATACCCGTGTGGCTAGACGTTGACATTAGAGAAGGCAAAGCCAAAAACATTCTCCTTGTACTGTGAGCGGAAGGTGGGGAGGGCTGGGACAGTCCTTAGTTCCTAGGGAAGTTAATTCCACCGCCTCGGACCAGCCCCTGAGAAAGCTCCATCTCCCGCTCAGGCGAGCTTTACCCTTATTGTAGAGCGCTCCATTGGGCCAGAGGAGTACTGTGGTCCCCTGAAGCTCTATTGAAGGGTTGGGGAAGCAATAGGAGGAAGTGGAGAGGCTTATGTCAGCCCTGCTGATTGAGGGAGTGTGTCTGTCATTTGTGAAGTGGGGTCCTAACTTAGAGGCCGTGTTAGAGCTTTGTCTGCTAATGGATTCCCGGGGAGTAGCTGTGCTAAGAGTGTTTCTTCCAACTACGCCTGGCAAGATGAGGGTGACCATTTCTTTTGGATGAAGGGAACTTGCTACTTGCATCTGCACCTTTGTGTCCTCTGCACTAGGCTGCTGTAACGTGGTCTTCTTGGGGCTATCTCCTAAGAAAACCTGGAAAGTGAAACTGGTGCTGATTTGGCTGCCTGAATTTTTGGTGGAGCTTCAGATCAGGAGTCCTGGCTCTACACTGGGTGTTTTATTCTTTACTTGTGGAGTTTGGGGAGTTGGTTTTAAACTATAACGTTCTAGGGCAGTAGTTCTCAAACGTTTGTACTGGTGACCCCTTTCGCATAGCAAGCCTCTGAGCGCGACCCCCCCCCGTATAAATTTAAAAACACTTTTTTATATATTTAACACCATTATAAATGCTGGATGCAAAGCGGGGTTTGGGGTGGAGGCTGACAGCTCGCGACCCCCCCATGTAATAACCTCGCGACCCCCTCGGGGTCCCAACCCCCAGTTTGAGAACCTCTGCTCTAGGGCCTGGCTCCACAAAGGACTTAAGCACCTAGAAAATCACAGGAATACAGAGATCCACAGAGTCTGAATTAGGCACCTAGCCTCCCTATGCAATGAGTGGGAAGGGTTAGACACCTAAGACTGGGATCCCCCAAAGCTGGCACACACTGCAGGGACCGGCACAAGCTAGCTAGTGGGAGATCCTGAGGAGAGGGTGTGTTCTAAGCCCTCTCAGGGAGCACCTAGAGTCCAGGCTGTAGGGAACTACCTATCTCTGCTTGTGATCCACTACTGGGAACCCCTCTCTGGAGTCGGGCGACTCAAGGACACAAGTTGTTTCATGTGAGAATTAATTACTCCCCTGCCCGACTCCACCCACAATGGCCAGATTAGGAGGAAGCAGCGGGGGTACTGCCCTTATCACCTTTAGCCCAGTGGTAAGAGCACACACCTGGGACATGGGAGACCTGGGTTCAGTTCCCCCCGTGCTTGATGTGGAGAAAAGATTTGAACAAGTGTCTCCCACCTCTCAGGGGATGCGCTAACTACTGGGCTTTGGGATATTCGGATGTGGAACTCCCTGAATCTCTCTTGTTGAAGCCTCTTCCTCTGGCCAGCTTTCGAGTGGGACATGATCCAGTAAGTGGTCTCTGAGTACGCCTGCCGGATTGGGCCCCACAGGTGAGTTAGGTGCTCATACGCCTGTCTTCTGCCAGGTTGGAGGTTGCTGTGGGGAATCAGGTGGGAGATAGGTACCTGGACACCCAGAGGAAGGCAGAAGTGTTCATGCCCGGAGCCAGGAATTTAGGTTCCTAGGGAACTAGTACAGAGGAAATGTAGGCACTGAGGCTCCGTCCTCACTACGGGGGGGAGGGAGGGGGTCGATTTAAGATACGCAAATTCAGCTACGCGAATAGCGTAGCTGAATTTGACGTATCCGAGCCGACTTACCCCGCTGTGAGGACGGCAGCAAATCGACCTCCGCGGCTCCCGCGTCGACGGCGCTTACTTCTACCTGCGCTGGTGGAGTACAAACGTCAATTCGGGGATCGATTGTCGCGTCCCGACGAGACGCGATAATTCGATCCCCGAGAGATCGATTTCTACCCGCCGATTCAGGCGGGTAGTGTAGACGTAGCCTGAGTGATTTTAGACACCTATGGGGTTAGGCGGCAACCGAGCGGGTGTTTTGTGGATTGCCGTGGCACCTAAAACTGGAACTTAGGCTCCTAAATATATAACCTTTTTACAGTTTTTCATAACATTTTCTTTGCCAGAAGACGCTGTTTGGGTTTCACGAGCCACCCTCTTCAAAGTCCTGGGGGCGCTCTGTGTGGCGTGCGCTGGTATTATCGGAAGCCAGTACATGAACATTCGCACCTGAGACTGGCTCCCATCGGGCCTGCTCCCTGCCTACAGGTGTGTGTCCTTTGACTCTACTCTGCCAAGTTACATTTAGCCATTAGCAAAAGAAGCTGTCCACAGCGATGTCCCATTAGCAAACCTATTTGTCTGACATAGTCTGTATGCCAGATGGAAGCTGGTTAAGTGACTCACGCTGTATTCTAAGTACACCTCTACCCTGATATAACGTGACCCGATATAACACGAATTCGGATATAACGCGGTAAAGCAGCGCTCCGGGGGGCGGGGCTGCGCACTCTGGCGGATCAAAGCAAGTTCGATATAAGGCGGTTTCACCTATAACGCAGTAAGATTTTTTGGCTCCTGAGGACAGCGTTATATCGAGGTAGAGGTGTAAAATGTGCTTAGCAGTTCATTAGACTTTGGCATCCATAACTAATTACATTTGTAGCATCACTCATAGGCGCCGACTTTTTGGTTCCCAGGGGGTGCTTCTCCACCCCTTCCCACAAGCCCCCACCTCCGCCTTGGCTCTTCCCGCCACTGCCTCCCCCGCCCCGCCTTTTCCTGCTCCATCTCCCCCAGAGCCTCCTGCACGCCATGGAACAGCTGATCGCAGTGGGTGGGAGGCACTGGAAGAGAGGGGGAGGAGCTGATCAATGGTGCTGCTAGCCGGGTGGGAGGCGCGGAGGGGGAGGGGGAGGCGGGGCTGCCAGTGCATGCTCAGCACCCACTATTTTTTTTCCGTGGGTGCTCAGGACTGGAGCACCCACAGAGTCGGCGCATATGGCATCGCTTATAAGGCAGGGGCTCTTACACGGCAATATGCTAACGTCACAGGGTCTCTGCCCCAGTTCAGGGCCCGCTCATGGCGAGAATATTTTATATGGTCTCTGGCCAGTGCCTTTTATCTGTGGATCTCCAAGCCCTTCAGGAGGCGCTCTAAGTAAAACTTTGTTCCAGTCAGATAGAGGATGTCCCTTCTTCCTGTTCTAAGTACCTTGGGCCTGATTTTTCTGCCCCGGTTCAAGCCCCTTTGCGCCACCCAGGTGGCACAGATGAGCTGAATCTGGCTCTGAGGATTCCCCCAGCATAGCCTAGTCAACTCAGACACCAAATACTCCCCACCCTGCCCTGGTGTAGGGGTGGTGCCCAGGGTGGAGCATGTCCATGCTACACTGAATCACAGCTGGCTCAAGGTATATAGGGACCCTATATTGCTATAGTGCCTAGAGGCCAACCAGGTCAGGACCTTGACGTGCTGGGTGCTGTGTAAACCTAGTAAATGACAGCCCCTGTCCCAAAGAGCTTGCATTGCACGTAGCCAGCTGGTCTAAAATAGAGTAGCACCTAAGCTGCTCTTGCTCGTGCTGCTAGGCTGGGGCAGGTATCATGGGATTCACGGAGACTGTTTGGTCCCTCCTTCACTTATCCCAAGGGTATCTTGGTACAAGAGAAACTCTGTCACTACGTTCTGAGGGTGGGAGTGTCTTAAATCTGCATCATCGCCCCTCTCGCACTATATCCCCCACAGTTATGGCTTACATTAGCCGCCATCTTTTGTGCAAACATTCACCCCTGCTTCCCAAAGCCAAGAGAGCAACAACTTTTATACTCACGCTACTGAGTTATCCATACAATGGAGAGGAAACGAATTAGAACCAAATAAAACTTACCAAAGTGTGTTTTCTCTCTAAGCAAAACATAAGTATTAGCATTAGTCACTAGGCAGCTAACTTGCCTGTAAATCTGTGGTTTGTTTTTCATTAATAGTGTAATCTACAGAGGTGTTACTCAGGCCATGAACAACCATATGTTGTAGCATTCTATGCATGTTACCTAGAACACACTGCTGCTATCTCCTAACCTGACGTATGTATTTTCATTTTTTTTCCAGATCCTCTGTCCACCTGGATCTCACCTGTCATCCAAAATAAAAAACATCAGCACCTGTTACTGTTTTGTGTTTGTGTTAATACAGAGCTCCAAAATTACAGTTGTTGCAACAAGCTTCTGTTATAAAGTCCTATGTTAATCCACCAAGAATTTTGGCTTAGAAATTTGATTTGGTATGAAAGTTACCAGATTTGCTCTGAAGGCAAAGGAAAAAATTTCTGCAAAGTTTGAAGAAAATGAATCAAACAGTTTGAGTTACAGATCATTTAAAAAAATACCCCATGTGAAAGTTGGCATGTCTAACATTTTCGTTGGGTCCCTCTAGCTCACAAAAAGATTTGTTTGTTATCCTTCACATTTTCATAGAGTTAAATTTCCTGGGAAACTCATGCCTTGGCTCTATTGGGAGAAAATAGATTGTAATTAAGCAAACTTTATTAATGTTTTTTGTTGGGAGCCAATTCTGTTCCCTTTCCTAAGTGTGTGATGCATTGGGTTTTAGTTCTGTTTTGATTGTTTTGGTTATTGACCAGATATTATAGGTGTGTGTGTGAGTAAGTTGATTTCCATTGGTGGGTTACAATTTAGAAAGGACATAAGGTTCCTTCTGTATCTGAGAGCTAAGCATAGCTTTCTTTTACTTCAAGTTTGGACTGAGTTTGGAGCTTCAAGATCAGGGTTCTGGACCCACCTTCTGCACCCTGTGTGATTTGTAACTGTGAGGATATAGCCCAGGATTGGGCAAACTTTTTGGCCCAAGGGCCACATCTGGGTATGGAAATTGTATGGTGGGCCATGAATGCTCATGAAATTGGGGGTGCGGGTGAGGGCTCTGGCTGGGGGTGTGGGCTCTGGGGTGGGGCCAGAAATGAGGATTTCAGGGTGTGGGAGGGGGCTGAGGCAGGGGGCTAGGGGGAGGGCTCGGGCTGGGGGTGCGGGCTCTGGGGTGGGGCTGGGGATGAGGAGTTGGGGGTGCAGTTTGCTCCGAGCTGGGACGGAGGAGTTTGGAGGGTGGAAGGGGGATCAGGGCTGGGGCAGGGGGGTTGGGGCGCACGAGGGGGCCAGGGGTGCAGGCTCCAGGCAGCACCTACCTCAAGCAGCTCCCAGAAGCAGCGGCCTGTCCCCCCTCTGGCTCCTCCGCCCCTGCAGCTCCCATTGGCCACGGTTCCCATGCGGAGCTCCCTGGCTGCCCCTACGTGTAGGAGCTGGAGGGGGGACAGGCTGCTGCTTTTGGGAGCCGCGCGGAGCGGGGCAAGACCCGGATCCCGCTCCCCGGCAGGAATTTGAGGGCCGGATTAAAACGTCTGGAGGGTTGGATGCGGCCCCCAGGCTGTAGTTTGCCCACCTGTGATATATCCTCTTCATAGTTAAGATTACAACGCATTAGAAAACTGACTTTGATCCCCTTTGTTAGACAAGAAAGAAGGGGGTTAAAAAGACAAACCATCTTGTTTTCACATTTGTAGGACGGAATGTCAGTGACAATAGAATATTTTCTAATGTTTTTGAGTAAACTGAGTAAGGGCTTTTTGAGATTTAAATCATCTGAAGTGCCTCATTTTCGTAATGTGTGGAGCGTGTGTGTTGTTTCTTTGTGTGATCATGCTGGGCCAAGAGAGGGATAGTGTACCACGAGTGTGAAACATAAGTAGATCTTGACGGGCTGAAGCAAGAGGCAGTTTTCAATGATAGGAATAGTAAAATGTTTACAAAATTGCCATTATTTGAAAACTAGACATTAGTCTCTGTCAGTGAAGCCAAGGAGAAAAAACTTGGTGAGGGAGAATTTTCACTGTCAACCTCTGAACTAGCCCAGGTTACTCCTCAGAAGTGAGAGGAAACATCAATGGGGAAATTCTGGCCCTTTTGAGAACAATAGAGATTTTGCCCTTGACTACAGTGGGGCCAGGACTGCACCCTAGGGCAACTCTCCCTGCCTTTCTCGCCAAAGTGCCTCCTTCACCTGGGGCAATACGTACTGGGGTAACTGGGGAAAAGAAAATATAAATGCCCTGGAAAAGGTCACATAAGAAATTTTGGATAAGGCTGGGGACAGAATCCTGCTACACATTTAAGGCTAGAAAGGAACATTCTGATCATCAAACAGGCCTTGTGCATAGTACAGGCCAGAGACTTTCACCCAATATTCCTACAGCAGCTGAATAACTTGCTAGGAGACCCATCTTGTATCCAGTACACCAGGGGTTCTCAAACTGGGGGGTGGGACCCCTAAGGGAGTCGTGAGGATATTACATGGGGAATCGCGAGCTGTCAGCCTCCCCCCCAAACCCTGCTTTGCCTCCAGCATTTATAATGGTATTAAATATATTAAAAAGTGTTTTTAATTTATATGGGGGGGTCGCACTCAGAGGCTTGCTCTGTGAAAGGGGTTACCAGTACAAAAGTTTGAGAACCACTGCAGTACACCACACTGCCTGTCACTGTATCAAATCCATGTACTTAGGTCAACGGTCAATTTCAGCTAATAAATCCTCGCCACCCTTTTAAGAGGATTTGAGAACTACATGTAATAAAGCAATAGAAATGCAAAGCATTAAAACACAGGTTCAGTAGCTTAACAGTAATGTGGCCTAGGGCGTTAGACACTAGCTGTGGAACCAGGAGAGCAAAGTTCTAGTCTCGGTCTGATGCTTAATCTGCTAAAATTTATGGTTTGTGTTTGGAGTGGTGAAGGCCAGCTGTACCGTGCATGCAGGGATCACTTAGCTACATTTGTGTAGCTTGTCAGCTGTGTTTTGAATGAGACAGGGTTCTGCAGGAGCCAAAATTAGCTTAGCTGGCACCACCCACCTCTTTAATTCAATAATTTGGTGACACAGCCCATTAATTTAACCCTTTAAAAACTTCCTTCATTTACTTTACAAAATATAAGAAAATTGTGTGTGCTTACATAGGCAGTGTAGGATTTGTTACCCAGACCTAAAAAGTATGATCTAAGATCTAAAACTAAGACTTTGTAATTACATTGGGCCAGAATTTGATCCCTTTCTTAGCCTTAGTGTCTTACGCTATATGAAATCCTTTTGGTATGACTGAGTCTCCTCTGGAGTAAGGTGCAACTCAGAGCATGTAGGGCTTCATGGTCTACCCCATAGTGGTTTTCTTCAGTGGTAGAGCTCAAGGTTATTATGCCTGTTTTCCTGCTGGCCTGACTACAGAGATTTGAAATGGCATAAGATACACCTCTACCCCGATACAACGCTGTCCTCGGGAGCCAAAAAATCTTACTGCGTTATAGGTGAAACCGCATTATATCGAACTTGCTTTGATCCGCCGGAGTGCGCAGCCCCGCCCCCCCGGAGCGCTGCTTTACCGCATTATATCCGAATTCGTGTTGTATCAGGCCGCGTTATATCGGGGTAGAGGTGTACTGTGGGCTAGTGGATAAGATGTGGGTCGACCACCTTAAAGGTCAGGGCGGTCACAAGCTGTACCTCAAATCTCCTATGTAGCTTTCAGCAAGTCATTAAAATGTTGGTTTTCTTACTATCCCAACTGATAAATGCCCATTCCTTTGAGACGAGGGCTGTGCTGGCAGGGCATGGAGGAAGAAGTGATTTTGCCACATCTTAGCATTTAATTTCACTTTTGAAACGTAAGCCTGGCTGATTTTTGCAGATTAACAAAAATATTCTCTCATCACTTGTGTCCCCTGCGCATCAGTTCCACTGACAGAGACTCCTATTTAGTATTCAAATAACAGCAATTTCTTAAACATGTTTATTCTTCTTGCCTTTAAAAATTGCCTTTGTCTTGAACCATATTCAGAATCTGCCTGTGTTTTAGATGTAATGGCACACTATGATTTTATTGGGCAGAGTGAGGGAGACAGAAATATTTGATACTACATGATTTAGGAGCACAAGTCCCATTGACTTTCATTAGGAGTTGTGCTCCTAAGTCACTTGGGCACTATTGAAAATTTCATCCAAAAATACTATTGTATTAGTTGTAAACTCTTCAGGGCAGGGACTTTCAGACTGTGGGTCTGTATAATGCACAGCACAATGGGGTCCCAATCTCATGGGGCCTTTAGACTTTACCGTAACCACTAATTAATAACACTTTTCTCAGATTTTTCAGAATTTTTTTGAGTGAGAGACTTAACTCCTCCCGCTTCCACATGTTCAGGGTATTCTTTTCAGGGTTGCCAGGATAGGTCAAAATTGGTCTGATAACGGGATAGGGGTTGCAACGTAAATAATAAAATAACACACAACTGCAGAGTCAGAACCCTGTTGTTCTAGCTCCAACCACTTAAGAGCATAAGAACGGCCATACGGGGCAGACCAAAGGTCCATCTAACCCAGTGTCCTGTCTTCCGACAGTGGCCAATGCCAGGTGCCCCAGAGGGAATGAACAGAACAGGCAATCATCAAGTGATCCATCCCATGTCGCCCATTCCCAGCTTCTGGCAAACAGAGGCTAGGCCTAGGGACACCATCCCTGCCCATCCTGGTTAATAACCATTGATGGACCTATCCTCCATGAACTTATCTAGTTCTTTTTTGAACCCTGTTATAGTCTTGGCCTTCACAACATCCTCTGGCAAAGAGTTCCACAGGTTAACTGTGCTGTGTGTGAAGAAATACTTCCTTCTGTTTGTTTTAAACCTGCTGCCTATTAATTTCATTTGGTGGCCCCTAGTTCTTGTGTTCTGAGAAGGAGTAAATAACACGTCCTTATTTACTTTCTCCACACTAATCATGATTTTATAGACCTCTATCATATCCCCCCTTAGTCGTCTCTTTTCCAAGCTGGAAAGTCCCAGTCTTATTAATCTCTCCTCATATGGAAACTGTTCCATACCCCTAATCATTTTTGTTGCCCTTTTCTGAACCTTTTCCAATTCTAATTGAGCTAAAGGAAGATCTCTTTAGCTGTCACCTATAGGAATATCCTTACATTCAATCTAATCTGTAACCAGCCAATAAAGGGCAACAGGATCCCAAATATACAGTGCCCAATCTTGTAATCATATAAACCAATGGCAAAAGAAGCTTCAGCTAATACCAGCAAAAGCAAGATTGAGATGAAAATTATCCACAACAAAAATCATTAATAGCTTTGGTTAATTACAACCTATTTTAATCCAATTTAGTAACTGAACAAGTTCAAAAGGTGATTTAACAATACGGACAATTTGAAGGGCCAAAAACCAACCCATTTCTGAGCTAGAGGGAGACGAGCATTAATCCAGTCATATTTAAAACAATGGAATGGTTTAAGTGACTAATTGTTTTCAAAACTTGCAGAAACATTTTCCTTTGCCTTCAGAGTAAGGCTATGTCTACACTAGCACTTTTGTCCGTCAGGAGTGTGAAAAAAGCGCCCCTCGTAGCATGACCAAATGTCCCAATTTTATAGGGAGAGTCCCGATTTTTGGGTCTTTTTCTTATAT